CTTCTAGTAATCTTGTATGCTACCCGTCTGCCGAATCTGCGACAGCGCCTCATCATGGTTGTGATAGTCCAAATTCTCTAAGCGCGTTAGGAGTTCGCGCTTAAAATTCCGCCATTGGATCGACTCCTGTCGCGCACGGTAGACGCTTGTGAGCCATTCCCACCATACATTTGCCTCACCGTACAGATAGTACGCGGCATAGCGAACCCAGTCTTGCACTGGCATCTCATTGAGCTTGAAATACTGCACTGCATTGTTAAGCCACGCGTTGGGGCCGGTCCCTGTGAACGTCGAGAGCACGAGCCTAGGCTTGTCGACACGCGGTCGGTCCTGGATGTTTGAAGCTTATGACTGGTGTTCATACTCTTCCTCCTCCTCATATCAGTATTCGATGTGGTGTCATTCGTATGCGTGCCTTGGTTGTTCGCGCCTGGGTGGTGGTGTTGGCGTGTCATGATGTTGCCGCTAGAACCCACGCAGCACCTCGTCCAGGCACTGCTCGAGTCGGGCCACGACTGCATTAGCGTTGTTTTGGCCTTCGTCGGGCGACCCGAGCCTACCCTCCATATTTTCACTAATGCTCCTCACTTGGACGTCGAGGCTGTCCAAACGCTCCTTCACTTCCTTGTTGGCCATGTCGCGTCTTTCTTGCCTACGCTTTTTACATTCCGGACTCGTTTGAATTTTTTTTGAAAAAAAAAATAACGAAAATTAAAAAGAATGTGGTGAGATCAAATACACACGATCGTCACTCTCAATGAAAGCACCAATGATGAAGACCGCGTGTCTAGATGTGCCGACAAGCCGCTCCCGCACCTTAAATCGCCAATAAGTGCTTGGAGGTTCACACACTCGTCCTCCTTCGAACGATAGATTTCACAATAGAACACAAATGTAATCTAAGACAAAAGAGTTTGAACAAGAGTTCAGTTTTTTATTCAAGAAATTCAATGATGATAAATAACAAGAGCTTGTGCCTTTATATAGGCTTCAAATAAATCTACTCCTAATTAACCTAGATCTCCTAATAAAGCAATAAAATATTTAAAGTCCTAGTCAATCTAGAAATCATAAGTAATAAGGAAAACAAATAACGATCTAGCCTAATCTAGGAGATTCTTTGCTTGCACGTCACTCATGTGTCCAACTTCCCTCGCCCGGGTAGGACTAGGTCTTTGCTGCCCAAATGCGCGCGTACGTCCCGCAACTCGCGTGCGGCCATTCACCAATGTTGCTCGGCTCTTCGACCCTCGTGTGCTTATCGCACGCGTCGCCCTCGTGCGCGCGCGTGATCCTTTGCATTTCTTGCGTCTCGGCCATTTGTCGGTTTAACCTTCAGCGCGCATGGTACGCGCGACTCGTCGCATTCTTGAGCCTTCTCACCGTGTTCTCATCAACGGATCGACGGCGTCACGCGGCAGGCAGGCGTTGTTGGGCTCTCGCGCAGGTGCTGGCGATTGTCGCTGGGGACTGACGTCAGCGTCTGGCTGCATGCGGCTGCGACCTCTGGCTTGCGGCTGAGCGCTGATGATCTACGACAGCGATGGAGGACTGCAGCAATTTCCGACGGTGGTGGACGTTAGTGGTCGGCGGCGGTAGGTGGCCGGATCTTGTACAATTAAAAGTCTCGACGAGATTGTACCTTAAAGCCTTCTAATGGATTACCTAAACACCTACTTCGATTAATCTTGGTGTACCTCAAAGCCTTCTAATGGATTACCTAAACACCTACTTCGATTAATCTTGGTGGTGTGAATAATCGAATCACCTCTCTCGAAGAACACAATTTTTCTTTCTTGAGAGAAAGGAAAAATCGAGTAACACAATGTAGGGGAAGAGCTTGGGACATGCTGTATTTATAGGCTTATTAGGGACTTTGAGGAGGTGCTAAATATGAGTTTATCCCATTAGGCTTAGGAATCCTAATCATGCTCCATATTCTATCCCATCTAGGAGTCCTATGACTCTAACCTTTAT